CACAAATGATTTCATCGCATTTTTTATTCATAAGAAAAATAGAAACTTACTAGTCATCGTTTTTCGTTTGAAAAACAGTGCGATCTGCATACACAATCATCCAACAATCTCAAACTATAGATAATAGTTTTAAACTCGTTCCTAACGAACAAGTTAAGAAGACTTATGTCAAGGAACTAGGCGATTGTGGATATGGACCAACTTTTACGGTGAATTTAACCGATGCTCGAATCATTCAACGTCGTCAAGAATGAGCATGTTGACACGGTGCTTTTTCTTTCAGATATTAGCACAATGAGTGATGCGGTTGTGGTCCGAAACTTTTGTCCGTCGGTGGATTGTTGAAGCATCTCGTGTTGTCTTTGTCTATGTTTCTGCGCACCATGCTGCAGAGGCAGTGCAAGCAAGCAGATCGCTATTCGTGGAGCATTCGATGAAGAAGTTTTTACATTCGCTGTTTGTGATATACCAAATGCCCTTGTGGATATTCCAGCAGCAGTAATACCGCATAAGACAGCAAGCCAACGATATTAAAAAGATGTTCAAATGAATAACGTTTCAAGCTGCTTGTATGAACTTTAGTTTGCAATCGTATGTAATAAACCTGTCCTTTTTTCTATCATTTCACAGAACTGTAGAAGAAAAGTGATCATGGCCATTTTTTCTCCGTTTTATTATTTCTATATTGTATCAATCCCTTCCTTTCTTTCTCTGTTCCACCAGGTACAAAAAAAGCTATCTATTTTTTTTCCTGGTCTCACTGTTTTTCATCTATATCCTTTATACCTTTTCATTGGCTATATTCTGAGTAGAAATATACTTGCATAAGCACCACTCAAAACGAATTATTCTTGAAGAGACGTCAAGAAAGGCATGTAATTTCACCAAGGAAGAGCGCAAATAGGCACAATCAATTAATGAAGCTTATTATTCCAAGAAAAAACACATGTGAATTGAGTTTAATGAAGTTTGTATCACATAGAGAGAAGAAATTGAGAATGAATCACTCGATCTTGTCGATATTTTTATGTACAGAAACCGGTGAGCAAATGTCAAAGTATGACATATTAAGAAGTTAGCCAAGCCTATGTTAATGTGTATGAACATATTAAAATCAAAATAAAATGACTTCAACTATGCATATTAAAGGATGTTTATAGCATCGAGGATGTGAGTGAGTATAGAACAGGCAGATGAATGTAGATAAATATTTGACCTTCAAAGTCACATTCACATACATCCACACACTCGCATCATAAAATGTTACAGTACCATATTAAAGTAAATGTCGATAATGTAAAGCACTATTTCTTAACGAGTTACTCCGGAAAAACCTTGAACATTCTTCTATCAGTCATTAAAAAGCTGCTCGCTACCCTCAAAAAGAGTGGAAAAATTTATATTTTTTTATTGCAAATATATTTATAACCCACTTTGAAGTGTGTTTTTATGATAATTTGTCAAT